AGAGAATCATGCAAGTTGACAAACTTGAGAAGGTCCAACTCTGTCTGCATATCGGCTGCCGTGATAGCACTTGGCACGTTCACACGCTGCCCGGGCTTCTGACTCGGGCTACGTGACCCACAGAAGAGCCCTGGAGCTTCTATGCCCTGGATCCTGCTCCTGAAGGCCCAAATGTGCGAGGGATCTGGGGACAGTCTGTGCCCTTGTGGGAAAAGGTGGGACGCCTGTGACCCCTAGCATCTTATCCACCCCTGAGAAAAAGCCAGCAGACCAAGAAACAGGAGGCGTTCAGTCAGAGGGGGATTCCCAAAGAGACCCGTTCTGACCACCGCATGATGGTGTCATCTGCCGGCTGTGGACTGCTGCAGCAGCAGGCTGAAGGAGCAGGATGTGGTTTTTGGTTTCTGTTTCTGTTTTGACATGTGCTGTTGTTGTGGCCTGCTTAGGCCCCAGAAAAGGGGAAGTGCACACAGGGAGGATCGAACTCCCCAGGTCACATGTCACACGGCAAAGGTGGAGGATATGGAACAGGCCTCCTTAGGACTTTTTCCTAAAGGTGATAGGTAGGTGCCAGGGTGACCTTTGCCCCCTCCCCCAGTCAGGCAGGCTAGGAGAGGGGAGGAAGATGAACAGGTGAGAGAGGGCTGAAGTTCCCGTTTATGGAGGAATTGGGGAGAGGCGGGCAAGGCTGGGCATAGCAGCCTACACTCAGCCACAGCGCAGGCCTTCACTTTCTCTGTGCAGAGGCCTGGGGACCAGGGAAAGAACAGATGTGGGGACAGGTGTGCCCCTAAGGCAATCTTGGCAGGGTACATTTTAGGCCCCTGCCCTCAAATTTGTCAGCAGTCTGTGGCCTTACAGGTTGTTGGCTCAGGTGACAGCGGGAGAGGATTTGCTTCCGCTCAGAGCCTCTGGACGGGAGGAAGATGCCTGAGCATCAGTACGAGTCGGTACCTCTGTGTTCTACCCATCTGCTGGGGCGACAGTGCCACCTCTCAGCCACCCCTACGTAATTGTCAGCTTTTAAGTGGCCACCTGTGCTGGGCAAAGTCCTGTCTGGGGGTCTGCATAGACAGCGCTGTATCAAGGGGCGTGTGAAGGCAGGACTGGTACCTTCATTTTGGAACAAAATCATTCTGGAGTCTTCATGAAGAAAATGCTCGGGTCTGGATAGTCTCGCTAGCCAAGCCTGTAATTCTATCTGCTGGGAGGGGAGGATTGTGTATATCTTTGTAGTAATATGGGGCGGCAGGGCTGCGTCCCCCACACCCGGCCGCCCACATGGCTAGCTTATGCCCCCAAATAATTACACAGACACTGTATTCTTTTAAGCACTGCTTGGCCCTTTAGCTCTAGCACTTACAGGCTAATTCTCACATCCCGATCAACCCATCTCTAATAATCTGTGAGAACCGGTCTTACCGGGAAGATTCTAGCCTAGTCCATCCTGGGTCGGAGCTTCATGCTGGGAGCGGGGCATGGCGTCTCTGCTGAGGCGTCTGCTCCGGAGAGCAGAGCTGTCGAGACTCTGACCTCACTTCCTCTTCCTCCCAGCGTTCTGTCCTGTTTTCTCCTCCCACCTATCCTCTAACCAATAAAATGGGCCAGGGCAGTGCCTTTATTAGCCAATGACCTTCCTCCATCATTTCCCCTTTTTCGGTTTAAACAAAAAAAAAAAGGCTTTAACTTTAACATAGCAAAATTACATATAACAAAACAGTTATCAAGTAAAAGTTACAATAATCTTTATCATAACTAAGGAAAACTATAACTATAACTAACTATTCTTAACTCCATCAAAGACTCCAGAAAGATATATTACCTAAGTAATATACTACCTTAGTAATATACTAAGAAACTTCAAACTCTAGAAATGACAAAGACATCTCGCTGCCTGGACAGTCACCCAAAGTTCTTTTGTACCGTTGGGGCATCCATCTTCAGCCTTCAGGCCCATGCTATCCAGCAGACATTTCCATAAAGCAGGAAAATTCAAAGTCAGTTCAGTCACTATCTGTTGTGTCCTGCAGAATGTCTCGCAGACTCTTTCAAAATGAATCAGGAACCCCGAAAGATCATCTCACCTTAGGCAAGTTCAGTAGTCCTCTCTCTGTGGGTTCTCTGTGTCCAGTTTATGCAATAGTTCAGGCAAGAGCAGTTTCTTGCCCAAATGGCTATCAAACTCCATAATGATCCTCTTCGATGCCCATCTTCCTCTCGAAGTAGATTGGTGCCGCCAGGAGCAGACATGTCTCATTGTCATAAAAGTCCTCAGTTATTAAAACATTTAAAATGCCATATTCTATAATCTTTGAAAAATATGAAGAATGCCTATCTAAAATATATCTATGCACATCTAGAAAATATTAACTAACATGATTACAAACTTGATTATTATTTATGATTATCCATCAACAACCTATATTTCCTAATTATACATTACATTTTAATAATGAACTACACAATCACAACACCTTAATCAATATCAGAAATACATATACATATAACAAAATTGACCGTAAATCTCTATCAATAAAGCAAAATCTATACTAATGCAAATTATTCATACCTATATCATATATCCCCCTTTAAAAGTAAAAGAACGTTTATAAACCATATTTGGGAACATGGGCGCAGATTTTTCTCTCCAAACTGCTTCCTGCTGAATGGGGGCGTCGTTAATTAGGTCTTTCATAGTATAACCTGTGTGCTAGTTTTATCTCAGTTGGCAGTTGAGCAAAGCAATTTTCTGAAGGCCTCACACCAACCCTTCAGGAGGGCGTGGTCCATCATACCAAATCGGAATAGAAGAAATGAACAGCGTCTCATCTTCTGTGAAAACAAAATAAACTCCTTTCCAAAGTATCATATCCTTAGATCTTAATTCAAAATATCTATGTTGGATTAGTTCAGCAGCATTTATAAATAAATATCTTTTAGCATCTGTTGCTCCTTCCTCAGCATTTAAATAATTTAAAGAGAGCATAATAGCATACAGTATCAAAATTCTCTGTTTATTTTCCATCTTTGTACAGCTTTGTTTTAACCTCTATTTCGTTTATTTTTACTTTTAACTCTTTGCTTTTTGAGACAGGTTCTCTGTATCTTTGACCTGAAGTAACTCTGTAGACCAGGCTGTCTTTGAACTCTCAGAGATCTGCCTGTCTCTGCCTCCCAGGCATTCAGGATTAAAGGTGTACACTGCTACACCTAGAACTCACAGAGATCTGTTTGTCTCTGCCTTCTAGGCACTGGGATTAAAGGCGTGTGTTACCACACACAACAACTCTCTTCCTTTTTTTTTTTTTTTTTTTTTACTTTAGGAACTTCAACTTTTAGTCTGCATATATTTTTAACACACTGTAAACCATTCAGAAATTTTCTTTGTCTTTGAATCTCTCTTTACTGTATATCTCTCTTTTTCTGACCACACGAGTCTTTAATTTACCAAGCAATATCAGTAGGATTAAAGGCGTGGCTTTGCCGGCTGGATCCAGCCCATTCCTTAGCTTTCCAGCCTCATGGCTGAGGTACTGGCTGTAGCCAGCAAGCGAGCTTCAGCAGCCTATGCTTGCAAACCACACAAACCGCCTGCGTAAAAGTGTCAGAGTTTGTCCTGGCAGGACAGCCCAGAAAGCCGGCATTTTTAAACGGCGCAGCTTTTTTCCTGCTATGGCTGAGAACCAAAAAGCTTTTCGTCAACACCATTTAAGTGTTTCGTGGCAGGACCTCTTAATGAGCTGCAGGGTTTTGCAGCTAAAGCTGAGTCAGGAAGCTTTTCTCATATAAGGCGCTTGCTTGCCTCTAGCAAGCAGAGCAGACCCGAGAACACAGCAAGTCTAGTTGCCATCAAACAAATCGTAGCACTTTACTCCAAATGCTTTATTCAAAAGCTCTGTCTCCCGCAGGAGCCAGACAGAGATCGCAATGGCGGCACAGCCCCAGGAAGTGGCGCTTTAAAATGACACAGCGTTTTTTTTCTGCTACTGTTGCCGAATCAGGAAATCTCTCTACAGCACGCCACCAACAAACAGCAAAAATCTGTGTTAAACTCTCTTTCCCTTATTTTTAAGCCTTCTCAGGTTTTTTAAGTGGGTTTAGTTGTTCACACGTCTGGGCGCCATATCTTCCTTAATACAGACAATTTTTTAAAGATCTGAGGATATAACTCAGTGGTCAAGCTCCTGCCTAGCATATGCCAAATCTTGGGTCCAGACCCCAGTATTGTAAAAATGAAAAAAAAATGTCATGGGGATATTAGTGAGAGACTAGAATGTGTGTGGTAAAAGGCCATATGAAGTAGGATTCATATCGGCTATAGCCAGTTCTTACCATAAACAACCTCATTAAACATGAGATAAGTATTATGGCAGTGGGTTGTAAGGTTTGGGACTTTCTGTTGCTGTGTTTTGTTTCTTGGACATGGTCTCATCTCATAGCCCTGACTGACATCGAACTTGGGGACTTTCTTGTGCCTAAGTCTTCTGCATGCTGGGATTAGAGGGTATACCACCAGGCTCAGCTCAGGTTGGGGGAGGGTACTCGGCACACTTTCTGCTGTCCTCTGTTTACTTGTGTGATAGATTTAATTCTCTAACTGCTAACCCAAATATCCTGTGTTGACTGCCTTCCCTGAGGCTCTTGACTACCCTTGCAAAGAGATGTCTCCACTGCATGGCGAGGTGTGCTTTGGAGCTGAGAAGGGAGCTGGGTTCGAAAACGACATCTCCTTTTAGGTTTCAAAGTGTGCATTCGTTGATGCGTGCCACAAAACGCCCCCAACTGCTAACCCCTCACGATGATCACCAGGGAGCCATCCCAGGCTCTGATGTCTGGAGCGACCTGCCCTGAGCAGAAAGGAGGCAGAAAAGGTCTATCTAGGAAGGGAACCTTGGTAGCGGCTTGCTGAGCACTTGGTGTTAGAGCTACCTCTTGGTTGGCCTGGCAGCTCAGCGCTGGGGGTGGATTAAGCTAATGATGGTCTTCTCTTTCACTCTCAGAGACACCTGGAAGCTGCCAGCCAACCAGCCAAGAATTAGGTGAGCTCTGGGGTGGATGCTCATCCACATCGCTGAGAATGGCACCAAGGTCCGGTCTGCTACCAAGACAAGGTTAAACCGGGACACAGCTTCATAGTGATCCTGATGTCTGTTCCTAGCCACACAATCAAGGCTGTGTTAAGTGAGTATGCCCCAGACATGTACGGGATCACTGGCCCTGTCTGTCTTTCCATTTGGCACCTCATCAGTATGGGCACAGGTCGTGGGGTTCAAGTTCTCAGCCTTCTTCCTGTCTAAGGGCTTGTCACACAGCTACAGGGAGGGAAATGCTGAAGTTTCAGGCCATGTCACTGTTGGAACCATCTTTTAGTGTCTAAAACTGAGCCAGCCCCAGCTGGTACCTGAGAAAGTGTATCTTCCCAAGTCCTTTTCATCAAGGCTCCTGGATGCTTCCATCCAAACAGTGGGAGCTATGCCTTACCTAGAATTCTGAATTCTATCCCCACAACATGAGCAATTAATGCACTGGCTCTGAAGGAGTTGGGTAGAGCATCCAGGGCTCTATTATTAGTATTATTAGATATTAATAAAAGGGAGAGGGAGTCAGCAGGGCAACACTTTCAACAGAGGCTCCTTAGTCCAGACAAGCACACATAGGGCGAAAGGCCTTGGCTGCAGAGTTCATCTGGCCTCTATCCCAGGCTCTGCCTCTGGCTTTTCCTTGATGATACTTTAAAGAATGACAATTGGATGCTTTTCTTAGCCCCCAGAAGCTGGAAGGCCATTATGTCAGAGCAGACAATACAGTGGTGGGATCAGGGACCAGAAAGAAGGAAGTTCCAATAAAGCAGAGCAGGCAGTTGACACCCTGGCTAGCTCAGCACTGAGGTCATCTTCATTGGGCAGACTCTAAAGAGGTCATGGGCTGGTCTCTTGGAGTTGATTCCCTACTGGTGTGTGCAGGGAGTGGGAACAGGGCACCTGGGTTATTTCTCAGCTGTAGGTAGATCTCGACTCTCCTAGATAAGGATCAGAACCTATTTACCAGTCCGCTTATGCATGCAACGTCAGTGTGCTACTAATAGGCCATTTGAGGAGGTGTTCTTGAGTTGATCTGCAGCCAGAAGAGGATGAATGAACCTGGACTTGAGGGGGACTGGGCAGAGGAAGATGTTCATGGAGGTCACTGTGGCGATGTAGTGACCCAGATGTGAGACCCACTCATCACATGGCACAGGTTCCCATAGCAAGCTACACCACTAGTGTGAAGACTGTCACACCTTTGACCCAGTAGTTCCACTTCTGGACTTACTCACGAAGAGATCTTCATGCCGAGCATGGGAACACATGCCTGTAAACCCTCACTTGGAGGGCACACAGGGGGATATCTGGATAGAGGCCAATCTGGATTAGATAGCAAGGACCCTGTCTGGGCAGGAGAAGGAAGAAAAGAAAGAGACCAAGAAAGCTATCTAGATATGGGGGAGCATGTCTTTAATTGGGGGGGCAGAAGGATCAGTAGTTTGAGTCCAGCCTTGAATCAATGAGACTCTGTTTCAAATACACAAAAATGGTGGAAGGAAGGAAGGAAGGAAGGAAGGGAGGGGTAGATGGATCTTTTATTATGAAATAGTCTCAGAGAAGAAAATTTCTTTTGTTACAGGCATAAAAGGTATTTCTGTGGTGCTCTCTGTAATAGGGGAAATGGAAAACAATTATTACCTTTGTTGAATGTCTTAGTCGGGTAAATTATAGTTTCCACTTGGTGGGGTATTATATAGCTATTGCAAGGATGCACACATAGGCTGTAGAACTTGGAAACAATGGTTCAGATCTCCGTGACAATGGGAGGTAGCAGACTTTATGTTACAGTGGCTTATAGTGCACCTGGGGAAGACTGCAAAGGGGAAGAGATACTGGCTCTGTGGCTTCGCTTTCGTTACGAATGTTCTTCCTTTCTGCGGTGCCAGGGTTGGATTCTTTGACAAGAGGTTAATCAGGGTGGCTGCAGAAGGCACCGTTAATAGTGACTTTCTCTCAGAGGTTCTCAGGGGTTCTTTTGGTTACTACGTCATTTCTTTCTATAACATTTAAATTTTAGCTGTGAGCCTGTTGCTTTGGTAATTGGAACAAAAAGAGATGTTTTTACATTTTAGAATTAAAACATCTTAAAAGACTCTATTTCCCAAAGAGAGGAGAGGAGAAAGGCTGAGCTATACCTATTTGCATCATGTTTAAGGCCTTGGGCCTGTTTGGGCCTCGTTATCCAGCTACCTGTCAATCCACCCACCCATCTATCTATTCACTCATCGACCCCAGACGTTACCAGGCACCATCGCCAGGAATCAGAAAGAAAACCAAGCCTCATCCCCACAGTTTTCACTGCGACTGGAGCAAGGCCACAGACAGTAGCAAACTATTCGACAGCGCTACAAAGAAAATAAGATGGGTCGATTTGAACAATAAAAAGTCCAGGGGCTCAGGGAAGGTCTCATCTGAGGGGTGACAGCGACAACAGAGAGACAGCCACATGGATGTCTGAGAGGAGCATCCTAGACAAAGCACAGGGTGCCTCCTAGCCCGTGGCCCCCATTTGCTTCCCAAGCACAGTGATCTCTGGGCCAGGATAGACTCCATTCCCCCGAACCCTACCACCGTCATCCTTCCCATCTGGGATATGCGCAGTGTCTGAATCCTTTCCAAATCTCCTGTGGGATGGCTGTTTCTGACACCCTGGCTGTTGTGGCTCTGGACAGATGGCTCCTCTGGACATCCTGCACACAGGCCACTGCCCTTGGCTGGCATTTCCAGAGTAGGGCTGAGCTGTCTCAGATTTCCATACCAGGGTGGATTGGCAGTTAGGAAAGTCCTAGGTAATGTGTGCACTGGCGAAGGGGCTTTAAACGGCTCATGACTTGTGCAACCCTGAAGGGCGGCTGCTGCCGTAGGCCTGTGAGGGTTAGCTTTGACCTTGGAGTACTCCATGCATGGCTCCTGCCAGAATTTGCTCTGAGAAATAGAGCAGGAGTCTATGCTATGTCTAACACTTAGTTCTGAGCGTGCTGAATGACTCAGTGAGACATACACATGAATCTTCTTGATACTCCAGATGCCGGCCCGGTATCTAGAGACAGCCCCTTGAAAATGTAGTACCTCTGAGGAGCCTGGAGCCAGCCTTTGGAGCTCAGGGTGCTGATTAGGAGGAATGAAGACTCCGGAGCCAGACTTAACGGGGATTTAATTCTTAGTCCAGCCATTTAAAGCTGTAGGACCACGGGCTAATGACTTAGCCTCTTTCTGACTCTTTTCCCCTCCTTTGTAAAATGAGCTTCAGAATTCCGAGTTAAAACATGGTTTTTTTTATTGTTATTTGAGAGGTGAGGGGACTCCCTCATCAAGACCTTCAGTGTCACTGATCCCAGGGGCCTGTGAAGAGAAAGAGGGGTAGAAGTTGGTGGCATCTGAGCTAGCCACTGGCCACAGGAACTGGCTTCCCTTGGCCCATTCTGTCCCTGAAGCGTGTCTGTTTTCCTTCCTCTACCTTGATGACAAGGGAAGCCCATGGCCATTTCAGATCTGGCAGCAGCTCAGCTGTAGAGTGTCCTCGGCCGCCACTGACTCCTCTGACCCTCAGTCCCAATCCTGCTAGGGACAGAACTCAAGGCCTTTGCCCAGAGAGCTCCTAGATGGACTGTGTGGCTCCTCAGAGCATGGAACTGTAGTGATTTGGGTGCCTGGGTGTGAGGAGTAAAGCCCAGGCAGAGAATAGGATGCCATTTGAGCCTAGTAAGATGCTCCTCTGGGCAGAAATCCCCAGAGCCATTGTGTTGCTTCATCTTCGCTTCCTGAAATAAGATCAGAATTTATGGGAAAACCAAAGGTGGCCATTCCGTCTGGCTTTGCCTATCCTGCTCTCTGAAGGCTGATTCACGTGCCTCCCTTGCCCATTCCGTGTAATGCTACCCTGTGTTAGAGCTCAGCAGACTCTGAGACTTCAGGTGGAGCTTCTAGGGACAGGATGCAAGAAGCCAGCTCCCTCTACCACACCACTTAACAAACCACTTGAGTTCTGATCCTTCTCAGGGATCCTATTCTTTCACCAACAGGCATGAGTAGGGTGAACCACCCACACTCTCCAAATACTTTCCCCATGTTTCCAACCCTGGTCACGCTCTCCTCTGTGCCACCCCGATTCCCTTTGGGCTGTCCCTTCTTTATGTCATGGTCCTTAGAAAGGGGGTGCTTATCACCAGGAGAAGGAGGCTGCCCTCCACAGAGCTGCTGCCTCCTGCCGGAGACTTTCTCAGGGCTCTGATTCCAGAGCTGAGCAAGGAGTTTATTGAAAGGGGGCATAAGGGTAAAGGAGGCCAGGTGGAGGGAGGGCAGAACCAGGCGTGGGCCTGGTGGATCCAGTGGAGTGTGGGATGAGAGGATGGGAGGAGCCTGTCCTAGACACAATTTCAGGCACAGCACCTGTGGCTATTGGACATGGGAGTCGAGGGTGATGTTTTGAAATGTTCTCAAGCCAGCATCGTCTACCTTTCATCCGAGCACCTCCCACCACACAGAGCTGAATCCCAACCAAAAAGACTTTCCAATTCTTTTGTCTCCACCCTGTCTTCCACCCCCAGCCAGGTCTCTCATTGCCCGCATTCATTCTGTGTGGACCAGCTGTGTTCTCCTGCCACCAACCCTTGGTCACGGTCTGACCTTGCCTAGGTATGCTTGCCCTCCATCTGCCCAAGTGCGTCTTGCTGCCCAGAAATGGCACCGTGCCTGGGACTCCCTTTGTTCCCTGTTCTGTCCTCCCCCTTTCTTCCCGAGCTGGCTCCCTTTGGTTCTAGGTTCCTCTCTTCTTTAGATATGAGATCTTTCCATCCTTCTCCTGCTGATAAAGTTGTGAGGTCCACCTGGGAAAGCTAGACCTGGTGGTTCCCAGGAGAGAAACCATTCTTGGCCATTCTAGGAAGGAGAGATCAGAGACAAGCAGAGCAGGATTTAAAGTCAATGTGAAGAAGGGGAAGGACTGGGCTGGGGAAGGAGTGTAGTAGCGGGACACGTGCCTAGCATGTACAAGATCCTGGGTTTGATCCCCAGCACTACACACACACACACACACACACACACACACACACACACACACACTGGCTTGTAAGGAGATCCACATAGTCATATCAAGCT